TACCTAGTTGTTATCCCATTGTAAATTTTGAAGCTCGTTTTTCCTATCTAGTTTATGTCTAGTGTTGTAGACAATATTTTGTTTCTATTATTTTTGGGTTATTTTCATGATTTTTGGCTATTCAACTAGGAGACCAGTTATTGTTTTTGATCGTTTTATTTGGTTAAACGAGGTTTTGGATCACTGAAATAACAAGAAACAAATTATAAACAAATCACGAACCCTACAGTGCATTGGATAGAACTAATAAAATTATTGGCTTAAGCTGTTTCATAAGGATGACAAATCTACTTAAGGAGTTTTTTTATCCATGCTATAGTTTGTAGTTCAAGCTCTATAATTCTGTAATATCTGGATCAGACAATTCGGAATTGAAGCGAGATGTTAGATGTATTAAGCCCTACTCTTATTGGGCATCTCAATTTTGAAAACTTGTTCAATATCATGTTAAGACACGTTTTATATTCTTCATACCAGCTTTTGTTAGTCGAGTTCTTCATGGGAATTACCAGTAGGGTCATCTGGTAGTGTTTTTCAGTGACATAGTTCCTGGAAAATACCATTCATAATTGAATGAACACAGTACGCTTAGTCTTTATTTTTATTACAGCAGCTTCCTGTGTTGGAATATTCTGCGATACAACAGAGCAGAGTGGATTCATGAGTAGCCCACCTACTCTCCTACATCTTTCACCTGCGCCGTTCAGTTTGGCCGAGGATCGAACCTATGAACCTGTGGGTGATGGACAGCCTTATGATCCCCTGGGTCAGCCTCCGATGACACGGGAAGCAGATCAGAGAGGTCATCTGAGGAGGGTCAACCACCTTGCAGATGTTCTGGGAGATCGCGGTGTCAGCTACAAAAGTATTCTGCCAGGCAGAACAGCAGAAGACCAAGGAAAGCCACAATCTCAAAAAAATTGTAAAGGAGACAAAAAATTTGTGGTCAAAGCAGCTTTCAATTCTCTATATAAGCACATTGCTCTTAGTTGTCAGCAAATCTTCATCAACTGGCTCAAATAAAGCTATATAAAAAAACTATGTTTTATTACACCAAAAAAACCTCACCCTAGTCTATACTTATAAGTTATTTGAAGAATTTACAAGTTTATGCAAAATATACTAATCAATACTAAATGAATAAGGTATGTACTCTTGGAAAAGCAAATGAAAAAAATTCCTTGTCTCTTAAACTTTAAAAATTATTATTAAAATCTTACGATCATCTAATTTCAAGGTTCAGTTTCTGAATTATTTATTATGCTAATACTATATTGAATAAACTGTTAGCCAATATTGTTTGATTAAAAACAATATTGTTTGATTAAAAACAATATAGTTTGATTACAAACAATATTGTTTGATTAAAAACAATACAGTTTGATTAAAAACAATATTGTTTGATTTAAAACAATATTGGCAAGATGAAAAGCAAAACAGTAGATCCTCGCTAATTCGAACTTTGAGAATTCGAAAACCTCTATAATTAGTAATGTTTTTCTGTTCCCCTCAGAAAACCGCTATAGGCTAATTCAAAAAATAATATACCGATAATTCAAAGTGATTTTTACGCTTAATGCAGCCTCTACAATTCAAATTTTTGTTGCCATAATTTTAATTATTGCCTCAAAAATTCGAAGTCAACCTCTACAATTCGAACTGCATTACCGTAAGCCTCTGTAATTTGAATTTAGAACAAAAAATACACCTGTTGAAACATGAACTGACACTCTTATTGATGTTACTAACGTGTATTCACTTATACAATTAAAATCACAACATTTAGTACAACAAAACTTGACTTTAATCATGTAAAAACTAACTGACAACAAAAAGTAAACAATCTTGCTATTTAATTAACATAGCAATAAATGTCGTGAAATTGATACAGACAAAAAGCACGAACACTTCAGTTCCCACGATGTGTTCATTAGTCTCCGTTCTCTCAAACTCTCTTCACTTAAAACTGGGACCTCCTTAATTCAATTTTTTTTTATTCTGACCTCTATAATTCAAACTCTCTACATTTCAAACTTCCTATGATTCGAAATATATGGCTTTCCTCTGAAATTCAAATTAGCGAGGTCTTTCTGTATTGTTTGATTAAAAACAATTTTGTTTGATCAAAAACAATATTGGCAAGATGAAAACAACAACAAAAAACAAAACAAGATGATATTTTTTGCTGATTTCTTCGTCTTTTTGCTAGACAGCATGTTGAAAATATAAAAATGTCCATAGAGACAGAGTAAAAAGGAATTAAAAGAATTAATAGTCATGGTTTTACTCACAAAATATGATGCATGAAAAGTGGAGTAAAAACGTGGCTGTACTTCTCACAGTATCTGACTATGAACAAGTTGTTACCCATATTTATATACCCTTACTTATGTCTTAAGCCGGGTTTTCCTAGGCGCGGAAGAGGAGCGCGGAGAGCGGAAAAGAGAATAACATGGTGTTCCGCTCCGCTTCTAGGAAAACAGTAACATTAAATTGCCTAAGACAAGTGGAGTCTGCTCTCCGCGTAACGCGCTCCACTTCCGCGCCTAGGAAAACCCGGCTTTACTCTCTCTAAATACTCCAAAATCTCCTCCCACCACCACAGGAGAGTAAAGGAATTCTGGTTGGAAAAGTTATCACTATAACCTTATCATTATTCAAATATTTATTATTCATTTGGCAATCCACTTCTTGGAGGTTGTATGTTACCGTTACTTTGAGTGAATCTTTGACTACTAAACAACAATATCATATAAATATATTTAACTTCAGTATCCAATAATCAATGCTAATATATAAGCCGAGCGTTTGTAGCCGTTGGTCACAGTTCACAAGCTCACTTTGCCCACCTTACATGGATCCAACATGTACCTGTGCCAAGTCTGCAAGAAGGCGTTCTGCTTTGCAACAGCAGCTAGAGACAAGCAAAATATAGTGTCTCTTACACTTGCCACTACGCACCACCCATCCACTTTGAACTGAACTCCAGACTTCAAGATCCAGCTTCCAATTCCTCTGGATAAGGAGAGACTAGCCAGTTACCGCAGATGTTCCAGCAGAGTTGGCACCAGCAGGGACCGAAATTCTCCAATCCCTGCAAAACTGTGCACTGCAATGAGGCGAAACCAGAAGCTTTCAAACCAAAAGATTTTTGAAAATTTCTCATATATATAAAAAAGGTCACCTTTTCAAATCCTCTCGACACTACTTTTTACTTTGCCATCAATGAAGTTCAAACAAAGGATTCTTCAAGTCCAGTCAGTTTTACACAAATCCCTTTTGCTTAAGATGCAGCAATCAACCACTGTTTTCTCGACGATTATTCTATGTGTTTTACATTAATAAATAGAGCAAAAATTAACCGTTTATCACTACTCCTTGTTTTATATAAGTAACTGTATCCAGTAGCTGCAGGATAACTTGAGAACAGCAGACCTTATGAATTATTTAGCTGGTCAGGCAGCTGAACAATTGTATCTTTGACTAAGCAGTACACTACATGACACGAGGTCATGTGATAATTCAGGGTTCCTAGCCAAGCAGTTCTGCACCAATGATTAGTAGTAGTCCAATATAAGTGAAGTGATTTACAGCCTACGGTAATAGCTTTATATGACAGGCTATGACAGGCTATTCATATATATCACTCTCACCGTATCGAGCCTCGCCACGCAAAACAGCACAGTCTACTGTCCACGTCACATTATGTTGGTGATGAGACAAAAAGTTTGATTTTTATCTCTCACTTTTGAAGTTTTAGGGTTTGTACTTTTGTTGTTTTCATGGTTTACGGTCACATGGCTAAGATGATTCATATGAAAAAATGTCAACTGGAAGATCACACCATGTGTTGCAAAATAAAAATACTAAAGCAGATTAATAAATGACTACAGTCGGGACCTTTGTAAGTTTGCAGTTGGTGGCAGCCAATCACAAGACAAGGCTAGTGCGACGTTGCCACATCGCACATGACAACACTAATTAAAATATACTAAGCAATATTTTCTAATCAGCTGGTATTATTAGATTTTGCAATCTCATATGAAAAAATGTCAACTGGAAGATCACACCATGTGTTGCAAAATAAAAATTCTAAAGCAGATTAATAAATAACTACAGTCGGGACCACGTACGTTTGCAGTTGGTGGCATCCAATCACAAGACAAGGCTAGTGCGACGTTGCCACATCGCACGTTGACGGCACTAATTAAAATATACTAAGCAATATTTTCAAATCAGCTGATATTATTAGATTTTGCAACACCGCACGGTTCTCATTGGTTCATTCAAAACCATATGGTAAATAGGCTCCTCCCTCAACTGCAAACTTACGTGGTCCCGACTGTAAATTATTTTCTTGAGTTTTTTGTTTTTATCAAACACACACAAAAATATACTCTCAGCTAAAACCTGGCACTCTAAGTTTTCATATTTCACTTCTGAAATTCTTCAGTTTTGTTGTTTATAACAAAATATTGAGTCACCTGACTAAAAATGTATAACCATTGACTATATAACACTATATATAGTAGTGTTATATAGTCAATGGTATAACATACTTCTCTTTGAGGTGGGAGTAACTATGATATTTTATGGGAAAAATCACAAAAGCTGCACTATCTTTTAACCATAATTTTTAGAGCAATGATGTTTTTACACTATTGTTTTGGGTTAAAAGGGCTAACAAATACTAAATTTGAATCAAAATTGGTTGAGCTTTTTTCAACCCGATTTTTTATTATAGGTTTTTATGAGAAAATCAAATGATTTGCAATAACTTTTGAACCGTTATTTTTACAGCAACAGGGTTTCTACAATTTTCTGAAGAGTTAAAAGGGCTATAACATACTAAATTTTAAACAAAATCTCATGTTATGTTTACATACTGAAAATAAAACTTAAAATTTACAAACAAGGTAAAACCAGTTTGTAGGGAAATTTTTGACCTCATCAGATCAAAAACCCTCATTCAAATGTATTGAATGTTTGTAATATTACAGGTTATGTGAAGAGCCTATTGATAACTTTGATCCACATTTGAATTCAACACAACTGAACAACAGTCTGAAACACCTGTTGGTGTGTTACGACTCGGACGAGAAACAAGATGAGATATCCGTCACCAGAGATCAGATGGAAGCTCTCTACGGACTGTTACATCTGGGGAATGTTGAGGCCCTTTATAGGCTGCTGTCCATTAAATCCCACAGGTATGAAATGGAAATACCACCTAGAGAGGTGCTAAGGTAAAAATACCCCCGCTCCAGCTAACCTACAGACTAAACGTATTTCAATTCGTCTGATGGATTTTTACTGAAATTTCCTTTGTTTGTTCTCCATTAAAATAATATATCTGAAGAGTATTATGGTTGCTGCTATAGGGAAGGTAAAAAAGTGTTTTTAGACCAAATGTTAATAGTATAGGATGGAATAAAAACATTTGCTAAATTCAATCAACATACACCCGTAAACAAGGAAACTAAAACAGTTTTCTTTTTCTCCATAAGAATGACATGGGAGTTTTAAAGGTGCTGTTTTCGGAATCTTCACTGCAACCTTTAATTGTAAAACAACACTTCATTGTATGTTATTGGTTTTCTAAGCTCTACACAATGGCTGTAATGAAAATTAAGCATTTCTATGTTTTAAAAACCAATTTTAATTTTATATTATTTATCAAAACCCCATAACACCCTGTTTCCATGACGCGATCATGCTAGTTCGCAAACTCCTCAAGGTTTATCCCGCTCTGTACACTTCTACGCCAAATTTCATGAATTGCGTTTTTGGCCTCTAGGGACATCAAATGGTTTTTTCTGAAATTTTAAGGCTTTTGGATACAAAGTAATTTTTAAAAAGTAAAATGGAAACTAATTATCTATTTTACCTCGGAAATGAGTTAGGAACCATATCAAAATGCACAATTTGCACTTGCCCCTTGTAATACAGGGTGTTTATATAAAAACTTTACAACTTCAAACAACTATGGAACCTTTATTTTTCCAGTTAAAGCTATGAAATAACAATAATAGTCTAGGAAATTGTTTTAAGTTTTGGTACATTATAAGGAGTTTACCCAACTTCAATATGTTTTCCATTATTTGCACGCAAACAATTAAGTCCAAATTCCAGTTTGGACCAAACACGACCTTTGTTTGGAAACTTCAACGATCAATAGAAACGTTTCCATTGATAGAAGGACTACAACAAATTTTTTTTCAACAGTACAGTGCTCCTCCGCACTGGAGAGACTGTGTCTGAGATTGTCTGGATAGGTTATTTCCAACCCGATGGATTGGCCGTTATGGGCCAACTTCATGTCCTCCTAGATCACCAGATATAACTTTTTTTGTGGAGCTTCGTTAAGGGTTGTGTTCTTATTATGTACCAAAACTTGAAGTTATTTCCTAGACTTTGATTGTTATTTGATAGATTGAAAAGGAAAAATAAAGGTTTTATGGTGGTTTGAAGTTGTAACTTTTGTTATAAACACCCTGTATATTAAAAGGCACAAGCACAAGGTAAGCTTAACATTTTGCTCCACCCACTGATTGTAGCTGTTATAATTTTAGTGGCAGTCAGTCTAGAACAGTTCTGAAGATGTCTTTGGCCCACTTCTGTAACGATTACGTGACAGTTTTCCGTCAGTTACGTCATTTGTCTCCTTTACTGTGCTGTGTGGCTGCTCTGCATGTCCCCCAGATTAGAAGGTATTATTAATATTTAAAATCATAAACAAATTTCATAAGTAATTTAACAATTACTAATTTCTAAATAACAAAATTATCAATTGATTTGTTAAATTTGTTGGAATACGTGAATCTAGTTGAAACTTCAGGCATTTGCCAAACAAGGTTAGAACAAATTATTTATGTGGTTTTGATCCTGAGTTGTCTGTCTAATGTACAGTAAAATCACAGAAGCAATTAAAACTTATATTTTCGTGATACCATTGTATTTCTGGAAAAAATCACAAGTAAAGAGATATTTATAACCCATTGAGATGGCGACGCCTCCTAAGTGGGTATTTCAACCCAAATATGAGTGAAAGATGAGTGTAGAATGGAATGAGATGCATTGTTTAGTTTAAGATCATCTGTTTAATTAGTCAGGACCATTTATTATAGCCCAATGATCAAGATCAGTTGGGCCCAGCTTTGAACCATCTAAGTATTTTTATACCTTCTAACTTTTCTCAGGATCTAACTGACGACCTTTTCATCACTAGACAAGCACTTTAACCACTCAGCTACCCAGTTTACATACAAGAGAGTTGTCTATTGTATAACAAAATAGATTTATGTTTTATACGGGGAGTATGCAGCTAACCTGGGAACCGGAAAAGCCAGGAATTGTATGTGAATTTTTATGATAGAGAAAAAGTCTGAACTGTATGTACATTTGGTTTAGAAAATTTGAATTTTTTATTTTGAGTTTTTTAAACCAGAAGTTTTTAATTTCGATGCAGCTGTGTGTTTTTTACACATTTCATCTAGATGTGCTTGTTATACATAAATCACTGTTTCGTCACTCCAATATATTATTTTGTTTCTTGCAGAAAGACGCTATCGGTCATGAACAGTGCATACAGCAGCAAAAACTTGCGATACAGTCTGTCAAAACTTACATCACTACTGTTATTTGCGAATGATGAAGATGCTGCAGAAGAGTGTAAATATTATGGTTTGTCAGTCGACGAAGACGGAGTTCACTTTTTGAAAGGGACTTTTGACAACTCTACCAAAGAAGTAAGTTGGTAATAAAATAGCTATGTAGCCTAATATCATAGACAAAAGAAAAGAATTAAATATAGACTGACAAAGGAAGGTTCCGTGATGTACCGCTTGAATGTGCTCAGCGTTCGTCGATTTGCTGCCGTCTTCAACCCCCCACTTTCAGACCCACTTTTCAATATGAGTACTGTACTAAATTCTGAAATCCTTTAGTGTTAACGGAAGAGCCCAATTTTTTTATCCACAGAAATTTTTATAACCTAGGTAAATAACAGAACAAACTTCTCTTCCGGATCCCGGGGAATTCTCCAGAAGTTGGCAACCCTGGCTCTAACTACAAACTTGTCATGGCAACGCTCGCTAGTGATTGGCGTTGCAGCGGTGTGCGCGGAAACTACACGGCACTCCTAGCGGTGGACGCCAGAATACTTGCTAACCGCATCACTGCTGTCGGTCTATATTTAATTCTTTTGTCTATAGTAATATTTTAAAATGACTGCAGTTAAAATAACAAACTCTTCTACTGTTGTAGATCTCTGAGAATAGGCACAGCCTCCCTGCAGTTGAATTAACCAAAAATTTGTTATCTGGAAAGGCTTTGTCCCCTTTATTTTAGCTAGTCGTGGTTTTAATTTACTGAAAGACTTAAAAACATCCTTTTGAATCGGCAACTTCCGTAGGGTGCATTTTCAGATTTTAAAAGTTTGATGAAAGCTAATATTTATTTAATATTTCAGAGACCACCAAAGAAGTTCAAGTTCCTAGATGAAAATCTTACCAACATTTCTCTGCCAGATATTTTACTTTGTGTTGATCCTGATAGCTAAATAAAAAAAAAATATTTTAAATACCTACCATGATGTACAATAATGGTTGTATATTTAATTGTGAATATTTTAATTTGTATTGTATACAATTTAATTTTGTATATATTTATATGTAAAATAAATGTTGTAATCAGACAATTACTGGAATTTTTAATTTAATGAGTTTGATAAATCAGATTGACACAAAATATTTTGTGTCTATATAGGCTACATGCTTGCCTACTATATTTTACATTTTAAGTATACATGCATATAAGTTTATTACTAGTGGGTGAAAACATTCTTGGCTTATGTAAGACACTTTAAGTTTTCACACACACATTCAATTATTTAAAGGTTCAATTTGAGGGAAAAGAAAGTGGTACTGGTACAGAGTTCCAGAATCACTCTTTCAACAAAAATTTGTATTTTAATTTTATAATGTTTCATTGAAAAATAATCAATCATTTAAAATCTGAAAACAAAAAAATACTCCAACATTTTACTTAATCTCGAGTGTGCATGAATGAGGTGTTAGTGTATTGTTTTAGAATATTTTCAAGCTAGAAAATTAAATTAAAAGTCATAAGGACTAATGAAAAAATAAACAACCGTTGTGAAAAATTACTTTTATTTATCTATACAGGTAACAACCATTTTGTAAAATTATAAACAAATAAAAAACTAACAATGTATTCATTTTTACATATTAATTCTAAAGTTTGTACTTCAAATACATTGTATTTCCTATTCTAGAATAAACCTTGAAATATTTTAAAACTCTACATGGATCCTTGATTCTAAACTTTTATTATCTGAACTAGCATTGATTTAAAAGTAGTCAACTTAATTGTAGATCTTAATTTAATTTTTCCATTGAAACTATTCCCAATAAAAAAATACTTTAAATTATTTTTTTGTATCTGTTCAAATTTATACTGAGTTAATCGAAATATCTGGGTGTAGTGGCTTAGCACTTAAGTTCTTTAGCAAATCTACAGTATAATTTGTAAGTAATATGAATAATCTTATTTTGTAAATTCACTACTCCAGTCAGTAAAAAGGTATAGGTCTTTCAGTCATAAGTAATCCTGAAACAAATTTTTCGTTTAAAACTGAGCAGTGAATTTTGCATCTGAAAATTAAATAGATATTTTTAGTGGATTAAAAATTAAAAAGAATTAATTATAATTGGTGGACCACTGGGACAATTATTAGCTAAGATTTAAACAAATTCTCATGCTTGGATCGGCTATTATGAAAAAACATTTCAATTGATTAAAAGTTATTGAGTTTTCAGACCCATTTCCTTTTTACTTCTATAAAATAGTTTTTCAAATATTATATGTTTTTATCATATTATTATTTTTCTGTTGTTATTTAGGTATTTAAATATCTAAATTTTCTCTTTGCCGAGGCTCTGAATAAGCTCATTATCTGACCAGTTATAGAGTAAAGTAAATATGTCTGAACTAATGTTATTATCAAGTTCAGTTCTTCACCAAGATATGATGTAGTTTGTGATATCCATTGAACTTGAACTTGGGTTCTTCTTCTATACTGCTTTAGTCCTGAAACAAATTATTTTTAATTACCGTATATATTTTATAAAACTTTCTAGTCAGCTTGGCAACTGATCTGCCTTCTCTGTCAACCCAACAACCCTAGCACAATGTGAGCTTGATTTTTAGTTTTCAGCACTTTTCAGGTAGAAAATTCAGTTGTTTTGTTGAGTCTTGCTCGCATAAATATTTGCAGGTGAAGGTTTTATTATGACCCATGAAATTCGATATACAGTAGAACCCCTCATATCCGACCATAACAGGACCCCATGGTCGTAACGCCCAAAGTTTATTTATAAAAAAACAATATACATACGGTAAAATATACAATTTTCTGCCATCATGGGAGACAATGATGTTGCCGTGACTACGGATGATGTTCATGATGTTTCCGTAACCTCAAAAATGTCCTCAATCTAACTGTGGTACAGACGACGTTCACAATTTCATTGTGACCATGGAAAATGTTTCTGATTTTACTCGGATAGCAGAAAGTGTTCTTGATTTTGCTGTGACCGTGAGAAAACGTTCTTGGTTTCACTGTTATGGAAGGTGTTCTCAATTTTGCTGTGACCATGGAAGACGTTCAATTTTGCTGTGACTGAAAATTAAAATCAGGTTCTCCTGATGATTTCACAAAATTCCCGTATGGTTCCTGTTTTCTCCGACGACAAATTTACGCATGATTCCCGGTATTCCCGGACTTTCTGGCTTGTGGCCACCCTGAAGGTGAGATATCCCGAGGAGTCGGTTATGCTGCGATGAGGGTTACTTTGCATATGAGGGGTTCTACTGTATTTGTCTTGGGCACTTTCGGACTTAATTATAATAATAAGCTGTTACAGTAGACCCCCTCTTAACCGACCTCGTATTAACCGATAATCGGATTATCCGCCTTCGATCGTGAAATAATACAGTTTGTTTTAACCGACCTTGCTTTGAGAGCAGTTCGGTTTAACCGCCGCTTTCTAGGAATCTCGGCATTTCCGCTCCCACTCTGGGCGATGAGAACTGAACCATACACTTATCTCCACAGGATATGACTAAGAATAAGTTATTTTGTGTTGATCACAAAAAATATAGCATGGCCTATTGTCAGTTTGTCATCATCGTTCGTTATCGTAGCTCGAGCACATTTGATCTGATATGTTATCTGTGTGGCAAATTTATAACATCATAAAGTGCGTTACGATTTTGAGAACTGATTATCTTATCGCTGGAGTAAACACACAACGCAACTTGTAGAGAGGGCAGGGAAGAGGGGTTAACAACTCCAAGGTCAAGCTAGTTTTTGTGCCTCGCTCCAGCCTACAGTGAGAGGTTATAAATAAACATCCTATCCCTTGTAACAAAATGGTTGCTTGTATCTTTAATTTCGACAAAAGGTTCTGTACTGTATTACGATGGATTTAGAAAGCATCAATTAATACATTACAGTACTAAAGTTATTAAGATAGGAATTTTATTGACTGTTGCCTAGTATTATAATATATTCCACTGAAATTAGACTTAACCGTGTAATGTGTTTATTTGTGACTTTTCTATCAATACTAAAAATGAGATAAGAGTAGTTTATTTTATTACTAATGCAAGAATGACTTCAAAATATTGATTATATAATTCCAAATTAATAGCATTTCATTATGTTGTGATTTTAGGGATTGCCCGTTTTAACCGACCTTTTGAGTTATCCGACGTAGGTCCGGTCCCATTAGGGTCGGTTAAGAGGGGGTCTACTGTATTTATTATACAACACCATTTATGTTAAAACTTTCGACAACACCATATTTTTTGTGTCGATATTTTAAAATGGACCGCTCTAAACTTTACACGCACTCAGGAATTTTCCATTCTTTAATTTCTTTCTCAGAATTACGACACCAGAAACTAATATAATTTATTGTATTTTTACAAGCTTTAACTTAATTAAGAAAGAAGATCACTGCTAGCTTGGGTATTAAAAAAGTATCATTAAAATTTTTATACGTAATACTCTATACTCTACTTATTTTACATAATGCTTAGAGTGTAAAACAATAAAGACATATTACATAAATTGTGGTATTGGTAAAAACCTTACAAAATACAAAGTGAAAATGAACACTACTCTATTCTAAATCTACAATTTCTACCTTCTATAGCATTGAAAAATAAGTAGTGAGAATTTAGAACAACCTATAAATTCTCAAATAACTCTGTGAACCAAATAATTGTTATATTTGAAAACTTATCTTAGTTTGATTGGAAATTTAGACCGGACAAGTTACATAGGCTACCTAATAACACAGAATTCACAATGAGTAAAAACATAACTGAGAATTTACACACTTTTTTATTCTTGGATTGTCACTACCTACTTTGAAAGCAAACTATTGGTATACCTGTACTACGGAAATATACAGTCGTCGATGCCGAGCCTTCTTGCTGGTTATTGATTCAGTTTTATGAATATGTGTAAAGTTAAAAGTGGTAAAATACAGTAAAATTTTTTAAGAGTGTTAAGCTTCTTAATTTGTATTGTGTTATTCAGTAAATTCCGTTTTTAGGATATAAAATTACAGCTTTTTAATTTTTATTGTGTTATTCTGTAAACTCCGTTTTTGAGTGAGGATTGAAAAGTTGTCTAACCTCTTTCTACATTGATATTGATTGAGAACGGACATTTATTCTGCCAGTTAATACAGATACATTGGTAGGTATGTTATGTTAAGCTACATGCTGCTACAGCTTTTCATGTCAATTTTCTTCCACATTATTTTCTTCACTCCTACGACTTTTACTTGAGTTTTCATCTATCACACGCACTGTATACTGATACATTGCACCTAAACAATGTCTCAACTTCCAAAGAAACATGTCAGCTTCCAGCATTACTACTTTATATCCTTTTCCTTATAACATTCATCCTTGAAATCTTTCCATTTTTAAAAGTATTATTTCATGCTAACTATGTCAGGTACAACATGGATCCATGCAGTTTCCACACACATTTATTTGTGCTTCACCATTTTTGTGCTCAATTTTTTTATATTCACCGGTTTCAAACAGCAGCCGCAACTTCTTCTTCATGAAGGGAAAGTAAACTTCCAAAAGGGTCTCTCAAACGCCCTTTTTCTGAGTTTTCGGATTGTGTCTCTTTACTCGTCTTGTTCCTAAGGGACAAAATTTGAGCATCACTAGAGTTTGTGTGTCTCGCTACCGGTATTAAGGAGCCTAAAGAGGACAATTTTCCTGCCGTGTAGGGGTTTGATTTGTTTAAACTGTTGTGAGACATTGCTCTTTGTGTAATGTTCGTATCGTATGTAACATTGTTGTTGTATGCTCGTGTGAGAGTGTCGTATGTGTATATATTGTCGATAGACGGAGCTCTTTTCACTGGATCCCTCGCTGATCCGTACCAGCTGTTCCTACAAGATCCCACTGGTAAACTTAAAAAAGCTAAAATATTGTCGTGTAGTACAGGGTGTCCAGAAAAAAGTATGTAAATTGACTTTTTATTTAGAAGCCAGATCGGTTTTTGCTATTCCTGATTCCTATACTGTGTGAGTATTTTATTTTAACATGTTAAACCATTACAATTAGTTTATACTATTCTTTACAATGTAAATCTATACATATATATTATGCTACGATATTGATACTACACTCAACTATATAATGTGAATCATTACCTACACAAGAATGAAAAAAGTAATGTTATTAGTGATTTAAACTATACTACTTTGTGGACACCCTGTTATTATTCATACAACCAAAACAGTTTTATTCTTAATAAATAATAGGTGCACAACAAGGTTTAAAAACTATGCCATGGCTGCCAATATCTAAATTTGTTTGAGATTTTTAAACCAAGTAGATTTATTTTTACAGAAATCAGAAATTTAAATTTATTTTTACAGAAATCAGAAATTTATAGGAAACCAAATTATACTTCTAAGTACAATATTAAATGTGTGTGTTTACCTACGGTACTTCCAACAAGAATTACGGAATTGTTTCTTAAACAACTTTTTATAAAGCCAAATACTAATATTTCAATGAAAGTAATAACCTGATTCAAAACCTTGCACCAAATCTATATTCTTCTTATTCATATATGTACACATTATCTTTTAATTATACATTAGAAAAGTAAAAAAAAAAAAATAAAAAACAATCAAAACTCAGCAAACCTGCATACTAAGTGAGTTTGCTGTTGCTTTATTGAAATTTTACCCAAAAGGGTCATAACATAAGGAAATTTACTGTTAACCCACGCTACAGAAAACATACTACTATAACCCAGAAGGCCAACCGCATGGTAAAAAGCGTAAAGCACTTTGAGAGAGCTTTGCCTGTCAATTCGTAGGCAGCGCCATCAGCATTGCTATGCTGAGTGCATGGCAACACTGGTGGCGCTGCCTACGGATTGCCAGGCAAAGCTCTCTCAAAGTGCTTAACGCTTTTTACCATGCGGTTGGCATTCTGGGTTATAGTAGTATGTTTTCTGTGCCCAAGCATAGTATATATAGGCTACTTAGCATTATGACAAGGGATACTGGTATAGTGCTGTTAGTAACACATGTGTACTTTTGTAAAACTTTTTAATACTAATATTGAAATAAAGAAATAATACACTAAATTTAATGAAGATATCCAAGAATTTTATAAAAATTAGTCTGTTCGCCGTAGGAATAAAATGGTATAACATACTAGGTAAAACATGAATTGTATTTTTATCATCTGGGGACCAATACATAAAGTACAGTTGTTCTGGTCCTGGTCTTAGTTCTTTCAATAAAGGCTTCTACTTTCCTCAAAAGAAATATACTAAAACAATAAACTACTCACCCATTGCTTGAAGGGTTTTTATCACTTGATGTTTTTCTTAAGTTTCGATCTCGAATGCTCTCAGCAAGGCTGAAATGGTAACATTATGTTATACTGTAACTAATTTAAATTGTAAACAGTTTTTGTAAAAAATTCTGCTTATTTATTTATTTTTTAAAGAGGTTGGTGGCCTCTTTTACCTTCCATTGTTCTGTCCACGTGAGCCATAAGCCGTGAGCCTGTTCATGGAACGTATCCAGCAAAGCAAGAGGTGAGGGGTGAACTGTACTGATATAAGTAGTGGCAGGTACCAGAATCCGAACCCTCAACATCGCTATCTTGGGCCTCATGTTCGTGGCGCTACCGACTGAGCCGCAGACTCACCAGGTGGATTTAGTTTAGGATGTTTGTGTAGTTCGAGAAAATATTTACTATCTCAGTCAGTAAGTACAGAAAAATAAAAGATTTGTCAAAAATAAAATTTGGATAAATTATAGGCCTAATTTTAAGAAAACAAGATTTTAAATATGTTCTGAGACAGAAAGCATAAATTAATCTGAAATACTCAAAATAAAGCATTGGGCAGGTGCAATTACTCTTGGCTTTAGTGGCTAAATTAATCTATGTAAATATTTTTGGCATTTTATGATTGACAACATGTTACATCAAAGTGAGTGTTTACTTGTTAAACCGAATAAAAAACTTTTAAGTTTTACAATAATTCTTATTTATTTGCTACTGGATTGCTTTTACGACAGTTAAACTTGTTTACCCTGATTTGAATTATTTGGAAAAAGTTAACACAAGTTTGACTATAAATAAGAATATGTTAGCAAGAATTGTATTACCTTTTCCCTATCTGCCTTTTGTCCAATTCCTTCTGAATGGAGTCGGGCAGTCTGTGAGGAGGCTTGGCTCCTTTCCCGGTCATATGTTCCTTTAAAAAATACCAGGTCATGTTTACAGTTAGTTTTATTAACTAAAATTGAGTGTCAATAAGCTAAATTAGTAATCAAAATTGCTCTGAAATTTGTTGTTTTTTTTTTTAATTGCAGATTAATATTGTATTAATTGTAATTGTAAAATAACTCTAGTTAATTGTAAGTCTCTAGTATGACTGAGCGAATAGGTTACCTTTATCTTGTGTTGAAAAGTGACGATTCCTTGATTTTGGGTGATGTCTGTATAATATACCCTACTCAGATAATAATCGTTTTTTTATGTTAAATTTTGTAAAATTAAAAAAATTTTGTTCCATTTTCACATTATAGGACGCTAGGTTCTAGTCTGGAACTGTTCTTAGACATTACTTCAGTCCTTTTTCAAATATAAAATTCAATAGTGATTGGCAGGATTAGGATTTGAACCCGGGACCTGTAGCTCTAGACCAGCTCACTCCCCTCATGTACAATATAGTCATCCGTTTTATATGCTTCTAAACAATATTAATCGTCTTAATCATCTCATGTGCTACAGTTATTTCACAATTTTACTAACTAAAGAAGTATAGAGTAAAAAAATATCACTTTTTCTCACCTACATCTCAAAATCTAAAAAGAACAGAAGAATACATAAAATTGAACAATTATTGAAAACGTACCTTGTACTTGGCGGAGGAGCTGAGTTTGTCGAGGCTGCCGTGGAGTGGGTTGGTCCAGACGTTGGAGTTGTTGAGATCAGCTGTGGAGTTGAGGAGGTCACCGGAGTACGAGGGTCGCGCAGGTATCAGCGGCGACCTACAGCACACTCTATGGGACAAGCGACTAACTTCTAGCTACCACACAACATTTACTGTACACTATACACTAACATGCCACTGCCATGGCCACTAAGGGAGAGGTAAGTTTAAGTACCTTTAATGTCAGATTATTATACAGGGTGAATTTTAAATGAGTTCCCCCCCTACTTTTTTCTACATTTCTTAAGATATCAACTTCAGACCACGTCAGATCATTGTACTGTAGTAAGTACTTTATTTTGACTGGGTAAACGTTTTTGGCCGCCATCTTGGATCCGCCATATTGGATACAAAATTTATTTTTCAAATGTAAAGGTAGGGTTGTGACCCATTGTTTCAAACTAGAATTTTACGCTGATTACAATTTCGCAATTAGTTTTTAAAAATCTTGATCCGTTCTAAAGTTATGAGGACTTCTTATAACTTTATTTGAGCCCATTTTAACATTGTGCATTTACAAACTAAGACCATAATCTCAAAACAGTGCTAGATAAAGATAAGTATACACCACCATTTATTGTCGACCTATTATCACTTGGTTATGACGGATGTATTTTTTTCGGCCGCCATCTTGGATCTGCCATTTTGAAATGTGATAAATTAATTTAAATATGAAGGTGGTGTTGTGACCTATCATTTTGAACTACTTTTTTATGCTGAACTCAATGCCGCAATCCGTTTTTGTTTCTCAGGCTTTCTTGATGAAATATTAAAATTATCTTACTTAAATTTCCAATATTTCAAAAAAACAAATATGAAAATGCAAAACGGATTGCGGCATTAAATTCAGCATAAAAAAGTAGTCTGAAATGATGGGTCACAACACAACCTTCATATTTAAATTAATTTATCACATTTCAAAATGGCAGATCCAAAATGGCGGCCGAAAAAATACATCCGTCATAACCAAGTGATAATAGGTCGACAATGAATGGTGGTGTATACTTATCTTTATCTATCACTATTTTGAGATTATGGTCTTAGTTTGTAGATGCACAATGTTAAAATGGGCTAAAAATAAAGTTATAAAAAGTCCTCATAACTTTAGAACGAATCAAGATTTTTAAAAACTAATTGCGGCATTGTAATCAGCGTAAAATTCTAGTTTGAAACAATGGGTCACAATCCTACCTTTACATTTGAAAAATAAATTTTGTATCCAATATGGCGGATCCAAGATGGCGGCCAAAAATGTTTACCCAGTCAAAACGAAGAACTTACTACACTACAATGATCTGACGTGGTCCGAAGTTGATATCTTAAGAAATGTAGAAAAAAGTAGGGGGGAACTCATTTAAAATTCACCCTGTATATAGCGGTTTATTTACCTTTTATTTTCGTCCCAGTTCAAAATTAGTGGTACCTACAACCGAGGTTTCAACGCTAGTTGCATCATGATCACGTAGCTACCATGTCGAGAAATAACACATTGTTATGATAGCCGGTCGTTTGGTTTTCGTCAAGGAGTTTATATGTACACGAACACAAACACACTTGGACACGCATATTGTTACGAAAAACTCAAATAGTTCTTGCGGACGGAAAACAGGCTTGTGACAAGCTGTACTTATTTAATTGTACCGTTGCAGGAGCCGGCTGAAGAGCACTCATGTTAGAAATATTTTTGTAATTGGCTTTGTAAACATAACCAAGACTTGTATAGCCTGTTCTCAGATAGTGTCTCATTTAAGCTGGCTCTCTTATTGCAAAAAAATGGGGATTAGGTATTTGCTGCTCGGTTTGTTGCTTTGTCATGTTTATCCATGGTTAATGCCGGAATTTTCTGTATGTGGTCCGAAGGAGGATGTTTAATCTGTATCTTCTTACAAAAACTCTTATCATTATTCATCAACAACTTCGGTTTTGCTCAATGCAACCCTTACAAGTTTAAAAAAACATCTATATTCTTATGTATTAGTAAGACAGAAATATAAATTTATAATTTACATCAATAAACGTTTGAACTGTGTGGGGACAACTTTACCAAAAAAATTAGTGACACATTAAGAAATGTGGCCATAGCTGATCTAAAAAAAATTACATTTATTTACATTTTTACATAAAAAATATACATTGAGAACATGCACATACACCATCAAACTCTTTGCCCAAAAATTCTTGTGCAAAAGTGAAAAAATTCTAAAGCTAATGTGGTTTCAACACACTTTTAACATAAACATAAATATTTGTTTACAAAGGATTATTTAAGAAAATTGACAATTAATTTTTATCTATCATCCTATTTACAGTCAAACAACTGACTTTTGCAAATTTAATACTTTCATTTAACTATACAAGAACCACCTAGCTGTCATAATATGGTCCAATCTCCAATTAAAAAATCAAATTTTAAATTTTCTGCTAGTTGGGGAGTTATGAAAAATGGAGATTATTTAAATATTACTTAGTTAATAACAATTGACTAGACAAATAATGTGTAGCAAGGGCTTTATTTGTATATTTCAAACCTTGTTTAATGATCTCAAAAGTTGCCGTGTAACTTATTTTTTATTAGCAAAATGATATTGTCAAAATAACATAGAGGCATTTTTAACAAACATATTTTTTCCATTGAACCCATCGAGATGTAAAAGAACAATATTGTACCTACTGAAATGTCTTGATAAATTAAATTAATAAGTTAATTATCACCTACAACTTTGATTTCCCACTCTAATGTTGCCAACAATGAAAAATATTTTACATTAGAAAATACTTACGAATTTACTTCCTCCAGTTTCTTCAATAACCTCTCATTTTCTCGACATACAATCTCCTGATCTCGCACCAGAAGATCTCTTACGGCAAACAACTCAGAGTTTTCCTTTCGCAGAGCTTCGTTTTCCTTAGCGTAGTGCCTTACAAGCTCGGCCAATTCCGAGCCTTCCATACTCGCAACCTTCTCAAGGTCAAAGTTTGGAGGCGTTTTCAATTGAAGTTTATTTTCTGGAATCGAGGATCAAATTTATGATGGATAATTGTACTATTTATACTTCTAAGAAATTTGACCATTTTTATGGACATAATGTGTTAATCTAAGGGCTAACTTGCCCTCGGTTGCCCTCTTTCAGTACAACACCGTCAGTCACCGTTTTTTTTTTAACTTTTTTACCAGGCATACAAAAATGAGCATTTCTTCTCAGTACAATAGATGTGAGTTGGATGTTTGACCCATTCCTTTTTTAGGGTATTTCTAAGCATAGTGTTATTAGTAGGAAACTATAAGACTTGGAATTAAAGGTTTTAATTTTATAAAAATGGGAGACTAAAAACCAACAACTATTTACAACATTGGAACAATTACAATTAATATTATTTAGCATATGAAATAATACCATATGTTCCAAATTCAAATACGTTTGAACAATATTTCCATGGACATTAGAATTGGTCTTCAACACATAGTGCTTATCCCTCTAAAAATTAAATAGCATCATAAAAATTACATAAAATGGCATAAAAAATGAAAATACATAAAAAGTGCCACTGATATAAGAACTTAAGGTTTAAAAAGAACAACCATCACCTCTAGTTGAGTCCGCCACATATTCTGCGCTGAGGTGAAGAGCTGTTCTCAGATGTTCGTTCTCCTCTTGAAGCGCTGCGACCTCTCTCTTCAGGCTCATGATAAGAGCCTCTCGAGGATCCTGATAACATAAAATCAAGATCATTGATAACAATAAAGATTGTAATCAGCGTTGATAAAATGTTTTATGAGAAAAGACTGAAATTATTTGACAGTTTGATTCGAGATTGATGCTGATGATCTTTGACGTGGGTCTATTATGATGGTTTTTAACAGTAGACTGACGATAGAAAATAACAAAAACTTGATGATGGTCATCATCATTTTGACCGATTAGCTGCTCAAAAGTATTTTTGTACGCTTATAAGTAACTTCCTTCATTGTCTTTCACTTTATATTGATAATTGATGTTATCCTGTTGGAAATACGTCATTAGGAAATCTTTTGTGTCTGGCTGTCTCATTTTTGGTCTTCTCTGTCTACAAATTTATCTTTTTCTACGTCTTGCAATTATCTCATTCAATGCTACCTCCAGTTGTATCTCTAGCTCAGTGGTGTCAACGTTTGTAGCACACTCTACCAATGCCACACATTTAACCAACACAGCCAACCACTATCGATCGCAAGTCAACCACTAGACAATTGAATCTAAGACAACCAAGTATATAAGCAAGATACTTTTAGGGTTGGAATTCAGGGACTTGACCTCCCTACTCTCTTTTCTCACAATATCAAAATAAAATTGTGATTAATGCCTTTGGGAACAAATCTAAGCTGAAACTGATTTATCTTGCAGAGAATTTAGCAACTGAAAAGTCTAACCTTTTAGTTGAAAATTTTTTATTCTGAAACTTACCATAACCACTATCGGTTTTGTCCGGATCTTCTTGGCACGTGCAGCATATCGGAGCGTGTTTAACGTCTCCGTCACGTTCGATCTGGCCGGAGATACACAGGCAACCTGGAATGGAAATGTTAAACTAACACCATTGACTTTGAGTACCAAAGTAATCTTTCCGTCTTGTTCTAAAAGTTAACGCCTTAATTTTGTATCTGATATTATTTTCTAACTACGACTTAAAGTTCCCTGATTTGTACTAAAGATTTGTCTTTTATCTTAAGGTAAATTTTAAGATTTGCACTTTACTCTTTGTATTGGTTGCGATATCAAAGTACAAGCAATTGCAAACATATCGTCTTATATAGTCAACGACTAAACAACATGTGCTAATTCTGCTGAGGATTAAAAAAAAAACACTAAGCATTTCTGTTTTTGTGTTCTTTCTCGGCTTTATGTCTGGAAAAAATTCACTCAACTGAAAATAGTTTTCACAGAACAACACACATAAAAAATATTTTACTTCGGAAAATTTCAAAACTTGTTTTAAATAGACTACCTCAATGAATAAAACAACAAACATTACACTTTGCTTGGTTGTTGATCTTATTCAATTTATTTAGTAATTTAAATGGAATATGGGGGAATCAGAGAGAAGGAATTCTGATTCTGACTCTCTCAGTTGAGTGCATGATTTTTTATACAAAGCTATTTATGAATACAACCTACCATGAGTGTAACTCCACTACCCGCTAAGCTGTCAGCCAGTAACTTTGTAAGTTTACTATCTCTATATGGAATGTGGCCGTTCTTCTTCTTACTGTCGCTCAAAGATGCTATGCAGTACCCTGGAACATGCGTTTTAAATTATTAAACCTTTAGCTGCATGTATCAGAAGGTTTCTTCAGTTGGACATCACAGATAATTTAAGATGTTCAAAAAATCCCATTATACTTACGTTAGTTTGTCTTTAAAGTAAGCCCTAAGGTAAAACAAAAGAAGATTTCCCTTTAAAAAGGTAAATCCAAGGTGCTAATCTGTTGAGGTCCAGCTTCCCTCATGCTACGAAGACTGGCTTTCCAGCCATGAAGGGTGATTATTATGTTTCATAATCAGCATCCACACCACATAGAAGGTTTACTGTACAAATTTTGATGGGAAAACATGTTTTCTTCTTTGACCTTATAAGCTGGAACTTCTGTAGTTAAAAATCACTTCGAAACAGCTAAACCACAGCGTCTCAAATTGTATCTGTCACCAATTCCCTCCCCGTCATAAACGACTGTGGCTCATTGCATCACAGTAAAAGGTTAAAGCATCAGTATGTCTTTTGAAAAATTTTCTTAAAATTAGTATGGGATTAAAAAAATAATTAAATAAGTATAGATTCTCTCCAAAGAGACATGTCATAAAATGCCGTTCCACTGTGTTCCTCGTCTAATCTAGTCCTGCATATAAGAGTGAGAGTGTTTCAGTTGACTACATACTCTCCAAAAAAGGGGCCACACAATAGTTCTCTATTGTTGCCTAGGTAAGAATACTTAAAAATGTAAATGTCTACTTTACTTTATCTATCACCACAACATAATACACAAAAAGTAAGTATTAACACAACCAAGAAATATATATTTGACACGTCCACTACATACTAAATAAACTCTTGAAAAACATAATCTTATCCATAGACCGTAATATTTATCCTAGAAACTCTACCTTCATCCAACAGAGTCTAGGAGCTGTGAAGAGGTCGCCTTTGGGTGTAAAACTGTTCATAATCAATAAAACAAATAGAAAATGGTTGGTCGAAGTGGTAAAGCAGGTTGTGTTAACATATCACGAACTGCTGTCTATACCACCCCCTCCCTTCCCCTCTGTCACTCACCCTTGTCTAAGTCTATAGTGTCCTTGTCAATCAAACTGATCTAGTAATGTTTTATTTAGTTTTGTGAAGTCATTCTCATTCTGATTCTGTATTTAGCTACGGAAAGGGATTGTTTTAATATTACATTTAATCATTTATGTTGATGGAGAAAATACTGAATTATTTATTTATAACCTACTTTCGAGATTAAAATGCTAAGTGCTAAAATGATTAAGTGCTTCTTTCTGAACAAAACGTCGCAGGTTTGATCCGGGATAAAATTGATAAAAGTCAGTTGCTTTTTGATGGGTCTAAACTGGACCCAGCTGTTCCTGATAATTGGCCAAATAAATTATCCTGGCTATAGAAACAGCTGATCTTAGTAAGAAAGCTACACAGATCATCACACTTCATTCTACAATCATCCTTCACTCATATTTGGGTTAAAACGCACCTTGGTGGCGTCCCATCTCAATGATTGATAATTAATACTTTGTTTCAGAAAGAGTAGGCCTACTTGTCATTGGTTTATGTATTCGTGGTTTTGAGATAGAGATAACTTTGGTGAGTCGGTGGCTCAGATAATAGAGCGCACTGTGTGAAAAAAATCAACACGTAATAACGATAGTTCACGTACTGGGTTCGCCTCTTAAATTCCAGCTCACCCCTTGGTTTGTTCAACACACAGACTGAGACCATTGTTCACAAGCAAATTCAAGGTTAAAATAAATTATGAACATAGTCATATTTATATTATTAGTTTTTTACACTTCTTGAAATATGGAACGAAGTAATACTTGGATTCAATATAACATAAGTCGAGTCAACATAATTTTAAAATTCTATCAATTAAAAATGCTTTTTACGAGTAAGAAAACTTTTTGGAAAGAGGTCGAAGAAAGAGGGAAACTTAAGTGAGAGCGATCACTAAAGGTCAGCGACCTAAGACTGTAATGCGACCCATTGATTCCCCCACAATCAAACAGACGATCCTACAACCACTATCAATAATGTAACAATTGTTTGCTAAGGTCAAAACTACTTGTAACTGACTTCTTTAAGGATCCTTCAATCACCAATGCAGGTCAAGAACATCTGAAAGATATTGTTGTTATTTAATAAGAAAGTGTACTCTATTATAGGGGTTGTTCTTTATTTGAAGGAGAACCGAAGATGTTTTAGGACAAATAAATTAAAAAATACCCCCGCCGCAGCAAACCTGCAGACTAAGCGAATTTCCATTTGACTGATTGGATTTACACTGAAATGTCTACTTAAAAATATAACATTTATTCTTGATTTAAATATAGAATTAGTTTAAAAAGTACTTAGGTTTGCTGCATCAGGGAGGGTAAACTGTTTTTTTTTTTTGTAAAATGTGAATAGTTAGTAAGAAATAAAAACATTTTCCAAATTTGATCAAAATATGTTCACAAATAAGCAAACTACAACAGTTTACTTATTCTCCATAAGAATAACATGGGAATTTTAAATTTAAAATTTTTTGGAATTTTCTCGTAACCATTAGGCGCATAATGACGCTTCAATATACTAAATTATTTGTTTTTTTAAGCTCTACAAAATGGTTTGGAAAGAAATTGCTAAATTTGATGTTTTTTGGGTCAAAAATGGGAAAAACCTATTTTTACCCCATAAAACCCCCCGTAAACCCCCGTTCCCATGGTCCGACATGCTGGATCGCGAACTCGTTCGAATAAACGTACGTTTACACGTTTGTACCAAATTTCATCAAAATCGGATCATTTTTGCTCGAGTTATTGTGCTGACGGACACATATATTTATATATATCCTATATAACATAATATAAATAATAATATATAAATATATAATATATAATATATATAATATATAATATATATATATAAATAATAATAATATAAATAATATATATAAATATATATATATATATGAATTTGAACGGATGGTGTTTTTGGCCTCTAGGGACCTCAAAACAAAAAAAAAAATCGGTCCCGCGTCCAGGTCTAACCATGAGTACTACGGTAATAGCTTATTCCCTATATGGGAAATTCGCTAAAAAAAATGCTTTTGAAACTGAAACCATTGACTATGGACACTGCAAATAAATAAGAGTTCTAGTCCTACTTTCAAATCTTAAACACACTTTGATGTGTGTCTGCAGGCACGATAGGAAACAATGTTTCTCCTTTATTATTGCTTTGAGATGTTTAATAAACTACTAGAGTGAAAGTTTCGTAAACAGTTAAGACATGAAATCAATTAGGTAAATGCCAGGGTTCAGCATCTAGTAGTAGCTCCTACAATCTAAATATTAGTTAAGGAAGCTTCAGAATAGTTTTACTGTGGTTTTATCATGAAATTGTTTGTACATATATTGGTTCACTTGATTAAATTCAACAAACTGATTATTCTTACGTAAATATTGTCAGTAATGACCCTCCTTAATTTCCATCTGAGTTGAATCTTTTACACAGTGATGGTTCTAGGACCTTGTCAAGGAGGGGGCAGGGGTCCAGGGTCTCCTCTCCACTGGAATATTTGGCCTTTTTTAAACCGCATGATGACTTTCTATAGCCTATAGCCATTTTTTATTTATAGAACTGTGTCCAAAAACCTCCCTTACATTTTAAACACAAAATGTTAGTTCACATTTATTTTTTCAGGGTCCAATGGGGGGAGGCTTTAGCTGGACCCCAAAACCACCCTGCGTAGTCTCCCCCCCCCCCTTGGCAAGGTCCTAGAACTGCCACTGCACAAATAATATGATTGGAAAGTTTTTAAGCTTGGTTACTGGATCTAATTAAAGTAACTTAACTACCAGACCCCCACTACCCGAAAAAAACTGACCATTATTATTGTAGTCCATCATATCTAAAAAGGTTGCCACAATCCAATTTCAAATCTCTCAAATAGTTAAAAAATTAAGGGTGGGAGTGCAAATTAATTTTCAGCCACCCACACTACGGTTGAAGAGTATACAGTTTCAAAAAAGTTTTCACCTTTCAAAACTTTAACAAAACCTATTTGGCAGTGTTTAAGACTTTCCAAGAGGTTATTACTTTTTTAAGTGGCGGACAATTTCAGGCAAAAATTACTTGCAAATACCAAAGATTTACAGGTATTTGTTCAACTTCTAATCTAATCCTAAAAGTAACGCAAAGACACATACTTGTAACACGGAAGCGAAGCGATAGGCAAACTTTACAACATGTTTTCTACTGAGGCGACATCAAAGAACTGAGGATGTCACCTTGCCATTGTTGTCCCCCCCTCTTCTTTCAAGTGACACTATGGCCGGGGGAGGGGGGGGGGGGTAGAAAGTTTGAATATTGTATTGGATCTTGGACACTCCAAGTAAATTGTGTTATTATAAAGTCATCACAATGACATATAATGGCCTTGAGAATGTACCGCTTAAACTAATGAAAGTTGAGAAAAGCAGCTCAATATAGCGTTGCAATTGAGTTGAATGTGGTTAGAAAGAAATCACATAAAAAAATGTTATTTATATTTATATCCTTTATTTGACAGTTGTATCATAGATAAAACATACTCCCCCAAGTATTGTATCCAAAACCTTGTATTGGTTAGTCTATGGTTGTATTCATAAAGTTTTGTGAAAATAATCTCAATCTTTATCCCTTAAAAAATTGGTGCCACTACATATATCATTCTAGTGAGCTGTCACATACATTTAAAAAAAATTTATTACATGCAAAACTGGAAATTTATCCTACAGTTTCAGCAATTATCATCATAACTTATTATCAAAAGCTGTGCTGAGGTTAAAACTTAAACTATTCATCAATAATCCGAAACTTTGTAATCTGTTGTACTCAGTATGACACACCTCCAACGCATGGGTGAAAATAAAACAAGCAAGCAGCAACATGAATCCCTTCTTCTTCCTTATCCTTATGTATCATCATTATATAGCCTAGTTTTAATAAATTACATGCACTGTTCGGAACTTTTACCAAACTTCATCAGCTCATTGTGTTTTTAAATCTAATCTGATACCCTCCCACCCTCTTTTTACCTGTTCAATTGTTGAAGTAAACTATAAAGGGTCTGGAAAAGGTCTCCCATATTTGGAGGGATCGCTGAGTGAGTTATGGTCTATGGAGTTAATATGGCGGCGCGCGGTGGAGGTGGCACCTATAGTCGGTGTTTGCCATTTTCATAGGAGTGTAAAAAGAATCCTTCTCAGAGATCTTCGAATGCATCGATGCAAGATAATAGTCGCTCAAAATTTATTTTAACCGTAAACGAGTATATTCTTCTAACTATACACTTAATGATGCTGTTTTGTTTGTCTGATGAGACCCATTACCACTTGTCATGTACCGAAAGTAAACAAAATTTGTCTGCTACTGAGCTGCACAAAACTCATTGTAACTTCACCAAAGACCAACCCAAAACAGGTTCACAGTTTGCATGTGATGCGCTATGGGCCCATGAGATAATTGGGCCCCCTCCTCCTTCCTAGTGGGGAAATTTGTTAAGCCTCTGGCCTCTGGCACCCCTGGGCCTTTTTCTAATGCAACCCTGCTTCACAGCCCTCGTCTGACAGTTTTATGGTAATTTCTGAGTTTGGTGTTTAAAATCTGTATTTTTTTCAAATAACATGGGCTAATGGGTTTACATACAAATCTTTACTGAGAAATTACTGTGGAGTTCCTTTGACCAAAGTTTAGCCAAAATGGCGAAGACAATGAAGAACGATCTCTTCATCAAGCAGTGACTGATCAGGAACAGCACTGCAGGGTAGATGGGATGTAGAAAGATATTGATACATTTTTGTGATATCATGACAAATGCTGTACAAGAACAAAAACTTACCATTAAGAAGATAATACAAGATTAGAAAACTAATTAAAGATGTTTGGAGGCAAAACCCAGCGGGAAGAAGACCCCAAGGAAGACCCAAGAATCGCTGGAAGGACCAGGTGGAGAAAGATTTGCGAACATTGAAAACAAGGTAAGAAGATTCAGAAGACAGGGAAGGAAGAGATAGTGGCCATTTGTTGGCAAGGCCATATACCACCAAGGATATTAATCTCCTGGGAAGAAGTAAGTAAGTAAGTAAAAACTCACCAAGCACCATAAGACTCTTGTTGATGTTGTTGGCTTCCTCCAGGGTCTTCCCTTCACTGTGGGTTTTCTTGGTCATCTCACTCCCAGCGAGGTCGACAAAGTTGATCTTCCCTTGCTTGGTGATGAACACATTATTCTCCATCTGCAATACAAGGTCATAAGTAAACATATTACTGGCCCAAGGCGGCGATGTCGTGGATTTGGATCCTGGTACCTGCCACAACTTTTTATCAGTACAGTTCACCCTTGTATTGTACAGGCTCACCCCTTGCTTGGCTGGATACTTTCCAAGCACTGGTCCGTAGCCTATGTGGTCAGGCAAATACATTATTAAAAGAGGCTGCCAACCTCTTTAAAAATAAATTGGGGTTTTAAGATTTTGAGACTATAATGCCTATTTTCTGAATATGCTCCTTATTGATACATTTATAAAACTATGAATTTGTTAAACAGATTTCTTACAAACTAAAATATTAATTTAAGTGATATGTAAAGCATATCTTCTTTCAAAACATAAATCATAAAAAATGCTACAGTAGACTCCCTCTTATCCGGACAACTTTTAACCGGACATCTGTTTAACCGGACTACACTCGGCGGAAATGACATCTCTTTAACCGGACAATTTTTATCAGCACATTGGTTTAACCGGACTAGATCGGCAGGAAGTGGGCGGTACTGAAACAACTGTTCTCGTGGGAAAGATTTGAGACCAGTTATCACATGAATAAATACAATGCTCTCCTAAATTTAAGTTCAATATCACAGTAAACGGTCTGTTTTAACAAGTTTTTGGGGACGTCAGTTTAACCGGAAAACCCGTTATCCGGACTGGCCTCGGTCCCGAGGAGTCCGGATAAGAGGGAGTGTACTGTATGTAATAAATTTTAATCTAGGGTCCGTCCCACTGGTCTTTAACATTTCATGTTATTCTTATAGACGGTAAATAATTTTAAAATTTTTTTTGTAATATAGTAATCTAAAATAAATTTTACAATATGATATGATACTAAAAGGTGTTGTTTATAATTTAAAGTAACAGCCTACCATTGATTATACAGGGTGGCTGAAGAGTAACTTCCACCCCTCCTTTAATTGAGGTATTTGAAATCAGTTTGCAGAAACCTTCTTAGATTTGAGGGGTTACAATGATCGTTTATTTTTTAACTTTTACCCATAGGGGTAGTGGGGATAGGGAGTAACTCAAAATTGCCAACAATTGACATAATGAAAATAAAAGTCAAATTACTAATAACAAAATCATAAAATTGAGTGCAAAAACAACTAACTCTTATCCAAAGTATACTGACCTGCTGTTCAGAAGTTATGTTGACTGTTAGAATAGTATGACTTCTACTTGAGTGTTCGTTCATACTGTGACTTCCAACCGAACGATTTCTCATGCCTGGGAAACAAAATACATACATTTAGTAACAATCTTTTACCCTTGGATGAAAGGAAGAAAGTTTGGTTAGTAAATTTGTTTGCAAATAATGTTGTTAGTTTGATGTTGTTGGGACAAAAAGTTCTAGTAGTTTCTTACGATTAGGACATTTGCTACTGAAATTTCATATTATAAGCACTACCATCAGACCATGTTTGATACTTATGGATCTCTTCATTAATAATATACAGGGTTAGGCAAAAGTCTGGAACCCCCCAGTTAACTTTTTCACTTTTTCACCCAGAAATTGCACTTTTTCATCAAAGTTACAACTTTTCCCCAGCCCCCAAAATGGGGTATTTTGGGGGCAGCCCCAAATTTTCAAAAGTTAGCACCTATCATGTGACCTCTCATTTTAAAGGGTTTATCAAGAGAAATTGAATGGCGCAAACCAGAGGTCAATATCGCACCCCTAATCAAAATGGCAGCCATTTTAATTATTTAAGATAAGCAAGCAAGATAAAATCTGGACACCCCCAGTTAACTTAATAAATTTAATATTTTAATACTGACCAAAAGGTGAATTCTCTTTTATTATAAATGTATGCTGGGAATTTAGTCTTCCTGCTATAACCTGTTCTGTATGTAGAATATAAGTTAATAGGGGATATTTCAAAATGACTGCCATTTTCATTAGGGGTGCGATATTGACCTCTAGTTTGCACCATTCAATTTGTTTTGAGAAACCCTTTAAAATGAGGGGTAACATGATAGGTATTTACATTTGAAAATTTGGGTTGCCCCCGAAATACCCCATTTTGGGGGCTGGGGAAAAGTTGTAACTTTAATGAAAAAGTACAATTTCTTATGTTGTAAATATGTGCAGAGTTTGGTTTTCCTACTGCAAACTGCAACGTGTTAAAAAGTTAACTGGGGGTTCCAGACTTTTGCCAAGCCCTGTATAATAACTCAATGAAAACAGTGAAAATGGAGGAACTGTGCCAGAAAGAAGAGCTATAAGCGCATGGTTGTCCCATAAGCTTTTATCCTCTGCATCTTACTTCTCTGTGAGTAAATTAATTGAAGGGTAAAGTATGAGTTGACAAGACATGTGGATTCCTTGTCAGCCACACATATCAACCATTTAGCTACTTTTCCCTTATTTTAGGTCCAAATGATACTTAGACTCACACATAAAGGTGTTGAAATACATTTAGTTTTCCACAATGATTTTCATAACCAATAAATTTAAAATTCCTCTGCATGAAGTGCAGCTCTTTCAACCTTTGTGGAAACTCCAGAACAAAAGTGCCACAAGTTAGAATTTAGAAGTCTAAATATATGTACCTTCTTCCAAAACAGCCAAAAGATCGTCAAGTTCTTCACAGTCAACGGTGAAGAGGTTCTCGACAAAGAAGCCTCCGGACTTCTTAGACCATCGAACTGCTAGAGGTTTTCTAACTGTTCCTGGATTTAGAAGGTCAATAACCTGCAAAAAATCACAACGTTACAAACAAATTTAAAAAATACACCAATACAATACAAAATTATACTATGAGAGGTTTGCTGAATTAGTTTGTTAGCTACACAATTTTTACAAAAACTTAGTTGCAAAATGTAGAAATACACACTGATACACATTACAATGATGTCATTGAGATTTAGACATGTTTATTTATCATAAAAATATTTGATTTTCTTGAAGATTATAAGACAGCATCAAGAATCAAAAGTTAAGAGACAGCTGAATACGGGTAGCATAGACAAATAGAACAAATATAGTCCGACAGCAGTGCTGCGGTTAGCATACGTTCTGACGTCCACAGTTAGGTGTGCCGTGTAGTTACGGCACACACCGCTGCAGCTTCTGCTGGTATACGACGAGGAGTCGATGACAGCAGAGAATCGAACACCGAACACGTTTTAGCGGCACATCGTGGCACCTTCCTTTGACCTATATTTAATCTATTTCTCTATATGCTGTTAGTATTCTGTTGTTCGACTAAAATTATAAGAAATGTACTGTACAGAACTTGAAATTATCATTAAATAACCAATTGTAAACTGGTCTTCTTTGTTGTCACAAAACAGAAGGACCAATTTCGTAAACGTTCAATTATAAAACAAACGTTCAAATTTCTTCATCATCAAAAGAATCATAACAACAAACACACCATCAACAATAAAGATCATGAATATTTGAGAACTGTACTTTTCCTCCAGATCAAAAAACATCAAAGGTAAATGAATATTTCCATGCTTATTAAACGTAGTTTCTCTATGCAAAAGGAGTCACTTTGCTTTGAAGAAGAAACATGTGTTAATATATAATGGCGTTCTAGGAACACATGACGTAACCAAAGACCACTGCAGATCAATATGCAAATAACCCTCTGCAAGGAAACACGCTATGGTCAATGTCATTGTCATCAGATAAGGTAGGGAAGTTGTGGAGAAACTTATGTATAAAGCACTAAAAGTCCATAGAGTAGTGTTTATGATACTCTGGACTTTACATAGTTCTATCCAATGAAAAAGTTATGAAAAGGAAACGTCAAAGATACTGGACAAACTATTATCTAGAGCAGAAATATAACTTTTTCTTTCAACAAAAAATAGAAAAATAAGAGCCAGATTGATTTATTTTCCTGGAGGATTATTTTGCGATAAAGTAGGAATTTATTCATCCCTATAAGGGAAAAATAATATTTTACTTATAACATAATTTTTTGACCATCATTATTTATTTATTTAAACTTAATAAATAAATTAATATTCATTCAATGGGCTCAAGTTGAACCAAACATTGTGTATGTTAAAGTTGTAATATAACTCTAGATCTACAGTACTAACGTTCAATCATTGATTTAATGGAGTTTTGAACTATCCTTTAAGTGCCAGAAACCAAACCTTTAATTGGTAATACTGTTATGTCCAGAAAAAGTTAATTTACTAAGAAAAGGTTTGATATTAAGAAATAGACAAAAATGTCGGAGAGTTCATTTATTGTTGGCTATTAATTTTTTATATCAAGATATATAGAGTGAAAAAAATTGGGGCTTCCCTCTTAAACTAGCTGCTGAAGTACAGACTGTACAGGAGCAATAAGTTGGAAGGGTTAAGAAACACATGTGAGAAGAATTATTGATTATAATCAATTGTTTCGCTGACCTTTGCCGGGCAAAGCACATCTTTTATTCACAAGTATCAAGTACCATCAGCTGTCCATTATAGTTGTGTAGCTGTTCTTGCTACAATCAATAATCATTCAACTTCTAGCCCATCCTAACAATTGTTGTGCCTTTACTACCAACCGATGAATAAACTATTTGACTGCTGATCTAATTTGATTCCAAGGAACTATTTCAATTTGTCTTATGGTACAATTTACCAATGTCATTTTTGATACTACAATTTTACTCTCATAGATAACAAGATGAAGATGAAGGTAAATTGGTTGGAAATCTCGGAAGGCTGGATATTGTGCAAATTAAATTTGACTTATCTCCTGAGCTTTCAGATGCACAGGTTCTTCTTGTGCCTCTGCGACCAACAGATTATACAACTGCCAATTGATTTTGGGATATGTATGCTTTTTTACTCAGATAGATATTCCAAAGTTTAATATATGTAATTAAAGTTAATGAAGATGAACTGTATCTGTAAAGTAAACCAAAGTCTATGAGCAAAAGTAAAAATTAAACGTAAAGGCCTACCTTCTCATTGTAAATTTCAAGAAAGGAAGCCTTTAGTACAAAATGAGTATCCCTCATCTCTTGTAGTTGTTGAAACAGGTACATGAACCCTCGGAACACCAGTCCATGGTTAGGAGAGAACGGGTCGGCATTCTTTTCCACCTAGAAGATAAAAAAAAATTTCTTTTAATCATAACAGTAGTCTTTTTTGTTTGACTTTATAAAATCAACCTCCCTCAAAAGTTTTGTGGGTATACCAAGATGTATTCACCATACAGTGTGAAAGATCTTGTTGGATCATGGGCTTTTAGGTACGTAAGAGTAGCTTTTTGATGGTTATAAACTGGACCCAGCTGTTACTGGTCTTTTGGCTTTATATAAATGATCCTTGCTAATGAAACAGCTGATCTTAGTCAGATCCAAAGCAACACAAATCATCTCACACCATTCTACACTCATCCTTCACGCATTACTTAAAATACCAAAGGTGGCGGCCCCATCTCAATTATTGGTAGTAATTGATAATTTGATGGGGTTTTGAAAGAAAGGTGTTAAACTCACAATGCTACTATAACTAAAAAAAATTAGATCTAGAGATATTTTTGTAAAACTTTTTCATACTGCATTTAGGACCCATTTTCCGAGCACACCGCTGATGAAAATAATATTTTTAACCCATCCTCAAAAGTTTTTAAAATTAAACTATTTTGATTTCCCAATTTTAGAAGGTCATGGATTTTTATTATTAATGCACTGTACCATTAAGTATTGTGTGTCACATACAATTTTACGAGTGAGTAACTACAATTTATATTACCTTTAACAGCACATGACCTATCATGCAAGATTAAACAAATAACTTTTATAATACACTCTGGGGGATAGAATTGAGGATGTAATTGCTATAACAATGGTTTGGTTGTGTTGATGTTGCATGTCCAATTTTAATATTTAATGCAAATTCTGAATATAGCATGTAAACAGAATATAAGTTATCTTCTGTGTAACATTGCAGATATGGGAGTGGGTTGTATGGTTTAGCAGAGAGCTCTCATACATCAATTGAAAACCAAATATTAATACAAATTTTACTGATATTTATTTGTTATCCATCCAATTTTTATATCATAATGAGGAACTGTTTCATTGTTTTCTCTTTGCAAACATCCTTCTAGATTGTTTAGGTCAATTTGACGTACTGTTCTCATTTTAGTACTCTCTCCTTTAAAACAGTTTCAGCTAGACTAAATCTTAGGATATTTACAATTTTTTTTCTACAAAGATCCTGATATCTAGCTAGTAGCATTGACTATACTAGTAGCTAGATCCACTAGCTACCTAATACATTACATCCCATAACACTAATGGTGAATTTCCTATATCTTTCAAACATCCTTACATGCTTTAGTGCTTCAATTCATCAACATTGCGTTATTCTAATGTTGCATCGTTGACTGTGAAACGGTTGCATGTTCCATAACTCCAATAAGCAAATATACGAGTATCTCCCAAGATATATTTGCTTATTGGAGTTATGGAGTTGGAGTCCCAATGAGGGGGGTAGAGAGTATCTGATCTAGTGTTAGTGCGCAGGACTTCGGTCCCTGAGGTCCTGGGTTCAAATCCTGCCAATCACCAATCTAAATGATAATGCGGTGACCCCCTCTAGACCTAGCATGTAGTAGGCTAATCTAGAAAAAATCCGGGCTAAAACCTGGGGGGATAAAATAAAAAAATACATAATAGCATAGTCTTCCTAGATATGCTTCCATGGTCACTTATTTTAGTGCAGTCTTCTGGTGAAAACCGTGTCACAATCGACGAATCACTATCACCCACCGACGTTTCGGTCTCAATGTAGAATGGTTATCAGGGCTACTTAATTCCGCACAGATGATAAATCGGAGACAAGTCCCCCTCGATGGCACTCTACATCTAGGAAGAAACATCGGTGAATGATTTTGATTTGTTGATTTTGACCAGTTCTTTACCAGAAGACTACGATTCTACAATATCTTTGCTCCACCTTACCAATCCCGGAGGTCCAGTAAGCGTGTGTGTTTTGCCGCTGCCTGTTTGTCCGTAGCAGAACACCGTCGTGCTGAACCCTTCGACCGCCATCTCCACCAGCCTCTTGACTCCCGAGAACTGAAATACATCCTCTTGGGTGGCGCCTGGTTCAAACACCACGTTGTACGAGAAAAGTTTCTGTTTGGAACCGGTGTGCCCCGCCACATTTCCCAGACCATCAAGCTGTGGAAAATGAGAAAAAAAAATTTACTAGTAAATAAATATAAATCTCATTAATATCATGCGATTCTTATTTAACTTGTGTTTCAGAATAAATTGTGAAGTACGTAATATGGTTTTGGAAACTATTTTGAAAAGAGTTAGAGTCCTTTAGAAATCAGTTATCTTCATTATAATATTTGAAGAAGTCCTATACATAGGCCTTAGGAGAAAATTTCAGTGTTGTGTTTCGTGATATATTTTATTTGTATTTTATTGTATCTATCAGCCCCTACACTTTTCTTTACAGCTTAGTCTAACTTTTAACCTTCAAAAGCAGCACTTGCAGTCATTCTATCATGGTCGAATGTGTTAAATTAATTTAGAAAAAACTCTGGGCAACAACTTGTAACATAGACAAAAGAATCATTTCATTGACCGATTGTTGTTTTGTTGATTGTTGAGGACAAGCTTCGCAGCCTTGTACTCTATTATATTGTTGATTACTACTCCATCAATACAACCTCGACAATACATCAATACATTGACTCTGTGAGTGTGGTACACTTAGCAAGTGCAATGGGTTTAATATCTGTTCTATGCCATTGACTTCTTTTATAGATTTGGGTTTTGTCTATTTTTATTGAAGAGAGAACTTTACATGCACAAATCAAACTTAAGGTCGTATTTCCCACTAGATCTGGATTTGGGCCATTAATAAAAAAGCTGGTCAATTTCAATGGCGTTGAAAAAACAAACAATAAGTCAACAAAAAGTATTTTTACTGTGACACCTTCATATTACATGATGAAACTTGCAGTACATATCAGTGCCATATATGCGTTTGGCGCCTTTTGAAAAGTATCTAATTTTAACGAACACTCAAAAATGTGACAATTATTTAGTGTAATCTAGATTAATTACCTACAAAGAAAATTAATTTACCAGAATTTGTCCATTTCCAGGAAAACTGATGACGGAAGGGTCATTTCTCTTGAGTTCCTTGTCGTTTAAAGGCCGAACTCTGCAAAAGTAAACGCCATTTTTGTTTTTGAACTTAATACTCTTTAAATACTAGACAGTTATGATTCTAATGGTTATCAAGAAGGTTTTATAGCTAAAATAATTATAATTCAAAATATTACTCCTTCATGACTTACTTGACTTGAGGTTTGAATAATTCTTTTAAAATGTATGTTAACATATGTTGAACATACAATTGCAATTGAAATATATGGATACCCTATTAATATAACACTTCTGAGGAAAAAATTTGTTTACTCTTAGAAAGAATAAAAAAACTCCAAGGAAAAAGAGCATATTAAAAACTAATAACAATAAAATTAATTAACACAATCTTTATAATGTGGAAATCACATTATAATTTAAAATAGTCTATTACACCATTTTATTTTATACTCGAAATATTTGAGTGATTAATTTCAACCTGTCTGGTTTGTAAAGTAAAAATAAATATATAATTTTCCAGAAAAATGTTTAAAATGAAAATTACTTAGCCTATATTTAAATATAAATTATATCCATATAAATATATTTTTACCTGACTACAACGTTTATGTTATCCTCTGGGCTGAAGGGATCAAGACTAGTCTGCGAGCCGTTCAAACTCTGCTCATAGATCGAGCTGGAAAAATAAATAAAAATTATAAACAAGTTCTGCATGCATTGTACCAGCCATACAAATACACGGGGCTGTTAGAAATTTATATATAGATCTTAAAGATGTCATATTTTAAACTGCGCGAGATCTCTCCTAAAATTAAACAAGAATAAAAAAAATAAATTAAAATAATTAAAATCTTATGGGTTTTTTATATGAGCTAAAATATCGTAACAAATCCGATCTAGTAGTAACAGCATTTTCAAAGCTAAAATATGTTAATGACTTGTCGGATTTCAATTCGGATACTCAGAACGCAAGTTTTGTGCCGTAATAAGTCCAGCAGCGCTCCCAAAAATTGATGTACTAAAAAATATCTAAATGAGTGGCCATAATTTGGGTATTTCTGTTTTACTCTTCTTGTACATCCAAAACAAAAACAAACTTTAAACTGAATATACAAAAGATAAAAACTCATTATAGTAGTTTTCATCACTAGGAGCGAAAGTGGCTCTTTGGAGATACGATTGCAAAAAAAACACTTCCGCTACGTGTGATGAACAACTATTTTTATCATACTGTAATGTGGAAATAGCTATTTAATCGTTACAAAATTAGACAACATAATTTGAAGTTTTAACAAGATTTTCATCAATGTTTACATTTCTTTTGTTTACAAATACAACTTTAATTATCGTGTGATTAGCATAATTTTATAATGCACTGATAACATTTTGAGGTTAGCAGAAAACAACAGTAAAATATAAATTTTTTTCCAGTTCCCTATGTAAAGTTACCCGAAAACGATGAATTTCCGGACGATTTAGGGAACTAAATATCCCCGCCGCAGCAAACCTGCAGACTTAGCGAATTTCCATTTGCCTCATTGGATTTACACTATATTCCCTATTTAAATAGAATTAGTTTAACGAGTACAGTACTTAGGTTTGCTGTAACAGGGAGGGTAAAAAAAGTGTTTATAATGTAAAATGTTAATAGGTACTGTAGTTTAGTAAGAAATTAATGTATTTTCCAAATTTTTGATCAAAATATGTTCATAAATAAGCAAACTACAACAGTTGACTTATTCTCCATAAGAATAACATGGGAATTTTAAAATTACAATTTTTTTGAATTTTCTCCGTAACCCTTAGGCGCATAATAACGCTTCAATATACTAAATTATTTGTTTCTTTAAGTTACCATAGTTTGATTCAAAACTGTATTGGAAAAATATTCACGTATCGGGGTATCGCAGGTAAATCTGAATTTAAAAGTGGTATAAATCAGCTGTTTAAGTAAATAGAAAATTTTAACAATAGTTTAACGAAAGCCCAGCTGATAAACAGGTCAGGGTTTATCGAAGTGCTTTACCTGCTCAGCTGTAAGGTGTGAGGGTGACCTTGAACTTGCCGATGATAATGGGGTGGGGGGAGGAGGGGAGGGTATGAATAAATGACGCAATTGTGTGTAGTGGTGGCTTTGTTAGGCAATTCTGGAGATTCCTAAACTATGTTGTCATCATAAACATATTCTTACTGAGGAGTTTTTGTCTGTAAAATATTTTTTTAAGTCTCGTAGAATAACGTTGATTCTACAGCATAAGGTTTTTGAACAAAAATCCTTAGCTATTACTTGAGAACATCCCACCAGGACCTAAAATTATAACTTTTTTAAAGGGCGACCATACGAATGTAGGTATTTTAAGCCAAGTATGAATGAAGATGAGTGTATCAAAGTTAGGTAGTCTTTTATGTCCCATCATCACATCGTTAGAGCCCAAAATTTATCTACACGTTACTGCTAGTCATAGAGGGTTACGGCATTATCACATTGATAAAATCCATTGGCGATTGGCGGGATTTGAACCCAGTACCTTGGGCGCCGAAGCCCTACACTCCACCACTAGACCACCTCGCTCCCCTAATATAGGACCTCACATAGTTGGAAACTTAGTGCAGAAACCAAAATTTTGTATTAGTAAATTTACCTGTGCTTTGTAATGAAATAAGAAACTAAATTTGTTTAACCATTTAAGGCTGCAGCAAAAGCAGATAAACTTATCATTCATTGTAGAATTTTACGTATTAGCCGGTAATAGATGAAATCGTCATAAAATGAATAGACGCACCACTAAGTGTTACCATTGATTTTTGAATACTGAAATTCTATTAATTTTCAAAGATTTTAACATTCATTATGATGTGTCTAAATCGTATGTGTGGTATTGAAAATTAAAAATATTATAAGCTTGGCTTTAAATAATGTTAAAAGATTTCGTTTGATCAAATTAAAAAAAGGATCTTAATGCTTCCATATAATCAAATAATTAAAGGATCGAAGCAAATGATACACCAAAATATATCAATATTATGGCAATTGTCAGTTAATGTCGGTTCATGTGAAGTCTCCATTATCATTAGTAGTTTATCAAATCGGTCGTGAAATTATTCACATGTATCGTAGCCCTGTATATCGTCAATGTTATTTAATGCTGTTTAAATTGTACTCAATGTCATTCAGTCACTATGCTTGGCTCGAGAATATATAAAGCTATATGCTTTAAAAATCTATAACTTTATAAAGGCTAAATAATTATATATTTTGCAATAAATTATAATATATACGGGTAAAATTATTTTATTTACTGGTAAAATTGTAGTAAGCAGTTTTAAAACCCTAAAAACATAGTTAAAATTAAGCCTCCACAGAAGTTGCTTAAAAATACCGTTGTCTTTTTTATACACCGACATTTTGATTGGGTCAAACAAAAAGGACGATTCATTTTAAACTACAGAATCATTCATATCCCCGCCAACAGAATGAAAACAAAAGAACATAAAAGTATGAGTAAGAGTAAGTAAGAGATGGGAAATAAGTGTAAGTAACTATGATATTATGGCGAAAATCACCAGAGTTCCAATAACTTTTTAACCGTAATTTTCACAGCAACGGATGTTGTGTCATTTTGGTTGGAGTTGACTGGAACTATAACGTACTAAATAAAATCTGTTGAGTTGTTTTATTTTGTGAAAGTCCGATTTTATGGAGTTTTTGTGGGAAAAGTTGCAATAACTTTTGATCGTTAATTTCTATATCCATGGGGGTTGATCAGTTTTCTTTAGAAAGGGCTATAACATCAAACAATGTAATCAACATAGTTCTTTTTTTTAATCCGGTTTATTCGATATTTTATTAAAAATCACAATTAAAAAAAGAAAAAAACCCGCCTGGATGTATCATAAATTATTTTTTACATACCAAATATCACCAGCTTTGTGCAAATCCACACATGCACCCACATACATAATTTCGAATATGTACAATTTTTTGGGGGTTGATATTTTCACTCGAACTTGAAATTTCAGACGAAAACGACACTTCCCCCATATACTATGTTTAGGGGGAAAACGGAGTAACAGCGGAACTTATTTTTACGGATCATTTAAAAGTGTTGGTATAGGTTTTGCAATGCTTGTCTTAAGTTTAGTCTCTTAGTTAGCGAGTGGTTCCCATAAATACGTTGTTGGGCTACCAATTAACAGTTAGTTCCACTAATATATACTTTTGATAGTAACAAGACCAGAGTTTCGAACAACCAACAATACAATCGTGAAGAAAACAAACATAAATAACGACCAATTCCAATTCATCGCTAAAATATTACTTTAACAGATGTTTACGTTCGCGCACGTATCTAGATGAACGTAAACAATGCTACTGGACTGGTGTTTACATCTGGACACGTGTTGAGGGGTCATTGACCTCGTGACGCGTGAGTATACAGGGTGTGCGACAAACAAACCCTTTGGGTCACGCTCGAATCGATGCCACCTGTCCATGGTGCGAATGTGAGTAGTTAAGTAGGCATACACTAGGAAAATAATGAGGAAAGACTCAATCACGAAAAAAGCGATTTGTGTATTTAAGGGCCATCCATTTTGAGAGCGTCAATGACTGTTTGTGCTCGTAATACACACAATATTTTCCGACCACCATAACTAACTTATAATAGTAGGCCTACACCGATTAACTTTTTACATGTATTGTCATTTAGGTTATGTTTGCTTCTTTAAGGTTATGTTATTTGCATACCGGTTGTTAAAGGTTAACTAACGTTTCGGAATGGCTGTGATTGGTCTAGAAACGACAACTAGGAAATCAGCTGATTAGCGAGTGGGCTAGAACGGCAATGAGCTACTTTGCGTACTGTTTACAGGTAAAGCAATAGGATAATTTCCTTGCAGTGTAGGAAAAATTATTTTTGAATTATTGCCCGAACTCTGGTGTTAATAATCTATATATAAGGTATATAAGGTATATAAGGCAAAGCCCTCACTGACTCACTGACTGACTCACTCACTCACTCATCACTAATTCTCCCACTTCCCATTTACCTAGGAGGCTGAAATTCGGTACACCGATTCTTTGAGCATTAAATAGGAAAACCAAGTAGTTTTTATTCTGATCGGGCCATCGGGCTCCGCCCCAGTGGCTCTGGAGTTTCCCATGTTAACCTTATGATTTTTCATATTTAAAAGGGGTTAATGAATCTTAACAGCTGTTTCAATTAAACAAGTTGGTTCTGTTCTATGATGTTCAATAGCATTAAAGGATTACCAACAGGGTGCAGCACTATTATTTTTTTAAATTTATGACAACAGCTAATTTGCAACCAAAAGGTGAGTGAGCGTAGCGAACGAACTTCAACCTGGAGGCGAGTTAGCGTAGCGAACGAGCTAACCTGAAGGCAAGTTAGTGCAGCGAACGACCTCCAACCTAAAGGTAGCGTACGAACTTCAACTTGGTGATTGAGCCATGCGAACGAGCTCACTTATGAAGTTAAACGGGGCAAAGCCCGCGGGTACAGCTAGTAAAGAATAAAGCGTCAACGCCAATCAATATCAATGACCTAAAGATGATTGATGTGTATTATATGAAACACACATTAAACAAGCTATAAAATAAAAGCTAAGTATAAATTCTCTTCGCAGTATCCGAAGTCAGTGCTGAAAACTAAGATG